TAACTTTCGTAATACAGTGGACATTTTCATTTCGCTGATAGATTATGTTTAAATAATGTAAAAACAACCCTTAAACTGCCCTTGAATAATAAATTTCCGTATGATTTAACCTTGCCAGGTATTTTAAGTAATTAAAACTAAAACTTACAGCATACATACAGTGCGGGGGTTGTAACTTTCGTAATACAGTGAACATTTTTATTTCGTTGATAGATTATGTTTAAATAATGTATAAACAACCCTTAAACTGCCCTTGAATAATAAATTTCCGCATGCTTTAGGCTTGCTCAATTTTTTAAGTTATTAAAACTATCACTTCCAGCATACTTAGAGTGCGGGGGTTGTAACTTTCGTAATACTGAGAACGTTTTTATTTCGTTGATAGATTATGTTTAAATAATGTATAAACAACCCTTAAACTGCCCTTGAATAAGCAAATTTCCGTATGCTTTGGGCTTGCTCAATTTTTTAAGTTATTAAAACTATCACTTCCAGCATACTTAGAGTGCGGGGGTTGTAACTTTCGTAATACTGTGAACATTTTTATTTCGCTGATAGATTATGTTTAAATAATGTATAAACAACCCTTAAACTGCCCTTGAATAAGCAAATTTCCGTATGCTTTGGGCTTGCTCAATTTTTTAAGTTATTCAAACTATCACTTCCAGCATACTTAGAGTGCGGGGGTTGTAACTTTCGTAATACTGTGAACATTTTTATTTCGTTGATAGATTATGTTTAAATAATGTATAAACAATCCTTAAACTGCCCTTGAATAGTAAATTTTCGTAGGATTTGGGCTTGCTCAATTTTTTTAGTTATAAAAACTATCACTTCCAGCATACTTAGAGTGCGGGGGTTGTAACTTTCGTAATACTGTGAACATTTTTATTTCGTTGATAGATTATGTTTAAATAATGTATAAACAATCCTTAAACTGCCCTTGAATAAGCAAATTTCCGTATGCTTTGGGCTTGCTCAATTTTTTTAGTTATTCAAACTATCACTTCCAGCATACTTAGAGTGCGGGGGTTGTAACTTTCGTAATACTGTGAACATTTTTATTTCGTTGATAGATTATGTTTAAATAATGTATAAACAACCCTTAAACTGCCCTTGAATAATAAATTTCCGCATGCTTTAGGCTTGCTCAATTTTTTAAGTTATTAAAACTATCACTTCCAGCATACTTAGAGTGCGGGGGTTGTAACTTTCGTAATACTGTGAACATTTTTATTTCGTTGATAGATTATGTTTAAATAATGTATAAACAATCCTTAAACTGCCCTTGAATAAGCAAATTTCCGTATGCTTTGGGCTTGCTCAATTTTTTAAGTTATTCAAACTATCACTTCCAGCATACTTAGAGTGCGGGGGTTGTAACTTTCGTAATACTGTGAACATTTTTATTTCGTTGATAGATTATGTTTAAATAATGTATAAACAACCCTTAAACTGCCCTTGAATAATAAATTTCCGCATGCTTTAGGCTTGCTCAATTTTTTAAGTTATTAAAACTATCACTTCCAGCATACTTAGAGTGCGGGGGTTGTAACTTTCGTAATACTGTGAACATTTTTATTTCGTTGATAGATTATGTTTAAATAATGTATAAACAACCCTTAAACTGCCCTTGAATAATAAATTTCTGCATGGTTTAAGATTGCCAAATATTTTAAGTAATTTAAACTATAACCTACAGCATACTTAGAATGCAAGGGTTGTAACTTTCGTAATACTGTGAACATTTTTATTTCGTTGATAGATTATGTTTAAATAATGTATATACAACCCTTAAACTGCCCTTGAATAATAAATTTCCGCATGCTTTAGGTTTGCTCAATTTTTTAAGTTATTAAAACTATCACTTCCAGCATACTTATAGTGCGGGGGTTGTAACTTTCGTAATACTGTGAACATTTTTATTTCGCTGATAGATTATGTTTAAATAATGTAAAAACAACCCTTATACTGCCCTTGAATAATAAATTTCCGCATGCTTTAGGCTTGATCAATTTTTTAAGTTATTAAAACTATCACTTCCAGCATACTTAGAGTGCGGGGGTTGTAACTTTCGTAATACTGTGAACATTTTTATTTCGTTGATAGATTATGTTTAAATAATGTATAAACAACCCTTAAACTGCCCTTGAATAATAAATTTCTGCATGGTTTAAGATTGCCAAATATTTTAAGTAATTTAAACTATAACCTACAGCATACTTAGAGTGCGGGGGTTGTAACTTTCGTAATACTGTAAACATTTTTATTTCGTTGATAGATTATGTTTAAATAATGTATAAACAATCCTTAAACTGCCCTTGAATAAGCAAATTTCCGTATGCTTTGTGCTTGCTCAATTTTTTAAGTTATTCAAACTATCACTTCCAGCATACTTAGAGTGCGGGGGTTGTAACTTTCGTAATACTGTGAACATTTTTATTTCGTTGATAGATTATGTTTAAATAATGTATAAACAACCCTTAAACTGCCCTTGAATAATAAATTTCCGTATGCTTTATGTTTGCCAAATATTTTAAGTAGTTCACACTATAACTTATAGAATACTTAGAATGCGGGGGTTGTAACTTTCGTAATACAGTGAACATTTATTTCGTTGATAGATTATGTTTAAATAATGTATAAACAACCCTTAAACTGCCCTTGAATAATAAATTTCCGCATGCTTTAGACTTGCTCAATTTTTTAAGTTATTAAAACTATCACTTCCAGCATATACTTAGAGTGCGGGGGTTGTAACTTTCGTAATACTGTGAACATTTTTATTTCGCTGATAGATTATGTTTAAATAATGTATAAACAACCCTTAAACTGCCCTTGAATAATAAATTTCCGTATGCTTCAGGCTTGATCAATTTTTTAAGTTAGTAAAACTATCACTTCCAGCATACTTATAGTGCGGGGGTTGTAACTTTCGTAATACTGTGAACATTTTTATTTCGCTGATAGATTATGTTTAAATAATGTAAAAACAACCCTTATACTGCCCTTGAATAATAAATTTCCGCATGCTTTAGGCTTGATCAATTTTTTAAGTTATTAAAACTATCACTTCCAGCATACTTAGAGTGCGGGGGTTGTAACTTTCGTAATACTGTGAACATTTTTATTTCGTTGATAGATTATGTTTAAATAATGTATAAACAATCCTTAAACTGCCCTTGAATAAGCAAATTTCCGTATGCTTTGGCTTGCTCAATTTTTTTAGTTATTAAAACTATCACTTCCAGCATACTTAGAGTGCGGGGGTTGTAACTTTCGTAATACTGTGAACATTTTTATTTCGTTGATAGATTATGTTTAAATAATGTATAAACAACCCTTAAACTGCCCTTGAATAATAAATTTCCGCATGCTTTAGGCTTGCTCAATTTTTTAAGTTATTAAAACTATCACTTCCAGCATACTTAGAGTGCGGGGGTTGTAACTTTCGTAATACTGTGAACATTTTTATTTCGTTGATAGATTATGTTTAAATAATGTATAAACAACCCTTAAACTGCCCTTGAATAATAAATTTCCGCATGCTTTGGCTTGCTCAATTTTTTAAGTTATTCAAACTATCACTTCCAGCATACTTAGAGTGCGGGGGTTGTAACTTTCGTAATACTGTGAACATTTTTATTTCGTTGATAGATTATGTTTAAATAATGTATAAACAACCCTTAAACTGCCCTTGAATAATAAATTTCCGTATGCTTTATGTTTGCCAAATATTTTAAGTAGTTCACACTATAACTTATAGAATACTTAGAATGCGGGGGTTGTAACTTTCGTAATACAGTGAACATTTATTTCGTTGATAGATTATGTTTAAATAATGTATAAACAACCCTTAAACTGCCCTTGAATAATACATTTCCGTATGCTTTAAGCTTGCCAAATATTTTAAGTAATTCACACTATAACATAGAATACTTAGAATGCGGGGGTTGTAACTTTCGTAATACAGTGAACATTTTTATTTCGTTGATCGATTATGTTTAAATAATGTATAAACAACCCTTAAACTGCCCTTGAATAATAAATTTCCGTATGCTTTATGCTTACCAAATATTTTAAGTAATTTAAACTATAACCTACAGCAAACTTAGAATGCAGGGGTTGTAACTTTCGTAATACAGTTAACATTTTTAATTTGTTGATTGATTATATTTAAATAATGTATAAACAACCCCCAAACTGCCCTTGAATAATAAATTTCTGTATGGTTTAAGATTGACAAATATTTTAAGTAATTTAAACTATAACCTACAGCAAACTTAGAATGCAGGGGTTGTAACTTTCGTAA